GCTATCCTTTGCAAATCAAGGTGAAAGGTCAATCTATGTGTTTTTTATTTAATGTCCGGTCAAGGTCTCTTAGATCCAAAACTTCACAGGAAGTAAACCTGCTTGTTGGTGGTAATTTTTATGGTAAAGTGTGTTGTGATTTTGTAGAAAAACAATAAAATTTATAAATTTGAATAAGCCATCTGTATATATCTTATGCAATTGATTTTGCTCTTTCAATTAGAAAGATCACGCTTTTTAAAATAAAAATGGAATCTACTGAGAAGGAAAACAAAATCACTTATTTGACTTGAATACTTTGAACTCAGTTTGGTGGAGATTTAATTACAAAAATTATGAATTATGAATTGATCTTTAGGTTCAAAACCATCTTCTTTCCCTGTATGATAGATCTTCATTCAACAACCATGCAAACCTAGCCTTAATCATGTTCTATATACTTGAAATTATTCATTTGCAAAATGACTTTATTTCCCTTTTAATAGATATATTAATTTGATATATGCATATGAACTTGTATGGAATCATAGGCCTATTTGTATTACTTACATGACAGAGGGGAGTTAAGGTTTTAGTTTTTGAAACGATTATTGTAACATCAAAATTTTGGTGTGACCTTAAATTACATATATTTGTCTCAACTGTATTTACATGTAAGAAGAAGACAGGGAAAATGGATTTTGAATGTAATTTTATCTCCGTCATTTATCGTAGAGTAGATGTATAATTGTACTTATGAGGTGAGGAATGTTTCATATTGTTTTGCAATAACAGATGTCTTGCTTACATTTTTACCATGCTGTCTAAAGAGATGAAGTTGATTTGTATAACATTTCACCTTTTAATATGCAGTGCATGTAATGTGGTACATTTACTTAAGATATGTACTCTTTCATGAGCATATAAAAGCATAAATCTTGCAGAGTGTTGAAATGCCGGGAAATAATATATCAGGCAATTAATTCCAGGTTTTCTGGTGACTTGTTATTTACATGAGGAGTAATTTTTTGTATAAAATACAACCAGATGAAAAGTTAATTCAGGTGTAGAATGTTACAACTATGGTGTTGGTATCATCTGCCTTGCAAGAGATAGAGATTTGGGCAATTTTTCTTTAATTATCTAGATATTCTAGATTGTAGATTACTATAGCCTATGCTTTATGCAAAGAGTTACGATTGGGATTAGTGGTCAGTTTAAGCAAGGTTGAGATCATGTTGATTCAAATTGTATTTTGAGCATAGGATTGATGGTTTAAAGGACCATAGGATCTAACCTGAATGAGTATGGAGACTATGTTGATATTCAAAATAGTTTTATTTAGTACTCTTGAGAAGTAGCAAATTTCCTTTTTTTTAAAATGTGGTAAATATGGTAACATCTGATTTATATATATATTTTTGGATCTGATTTCAATTATTTTTCTTTCTTTCCATCTATTCCTTTTCCAATTTATTGCTTTTTAAACTATTGAATACACAGGTATTTGCCCTGTAAAAGTTTCTGCATGTGATATGTTGTGTAAAATGAATGAAATATGCATTTCTCATGAGCAGGCATTGCTAAGTTGAGTTCATTATTCTGCATTTGCATGAATATCGGTTGTATACATATACTGTGTAGATTGTATGCACTTTGCATACAAAATCTTCAATAATTTGCTCTGATTTGTCTCAAAGAAAATCATGTTCAAGTGTGATGAAATGAAACCAGCCATTATGTCACTTTTCTAGTAAAACAAAGCTTGTGTGTTTGGTGTTGGGTATGTTCACAAATGGGTGCTTGCAGTGCATTTCCCTTGTACAAGTACCAAGGGCCTCTTTCTCTAGTTGACTTTTGTTGAGCTCTATCCAAAGTGGAAAATATTAGCAAATGATTCAACCTGATATATTTTTTGCAACAAAATTTGGCATTGTGACTGGAGCATATATTTTTTACGAGGAAACAAAAAAAATACGCAGAAGATGTGTGAGGATCAAAGTAAAATAATAAATCATGAATTTGGTTGATTACTATTCAGCATCAAATTTTTACAGAACCGTTGAATGGAAATGTATTTGTAATGAAAACACATTGTGTATAATGTCAGGAAATTCATTTAATAGAATGTATCTTTTTCAGAAGTGTATTTTTCTTAAATTGATGAAGCAAATCATGAAAGATTGATTATTCTAAAATCAGTACAAATTATGCTCCATTAAAGTATTGTGACATCTGTAACGTGCCATGCAATGTGTAAAACTAGAAAAGAATGCATATCATTGATGTTAATTTTGCTGCTCTTCGTGACTGTAAATAACATTTTACAAGATTTAGAGGGTATGATACTTGTGTAACTTTTTAAATAAATAGCAGTATTCAAGGTTATAGTATTTGAAATCTGAACAGGAATATTTTGCTCAGCAAACAAGATGTCGAACTTTCCCCAATCCAATGATTGTGTGAAACATTATTGTGGGGAGAGCAAATCACTGTCCCAGCCATGGCAATGTGGTCCGTTCACAGCCAAAAGGCTAGAAATACCAAAGAGTGGTTCTATTACAGGTGGTAGTAAATCAGAAAGTTTTGGTTTGTCAACCAATTTTTTTTATAATCCGAATTTCAATCATGCAAACTTTTTTTAATTGCACAGAATCAAATGCAGCAGCAACAATGATTTTATTGGAACATTTTATTAATAAGGGTGTGTTGTGTTTAACCAATTTCTTAATGTTCTACAGGCTAATAAGACACAACTTATTTTGCTTTTTTTAATAAAGTCATCAAATGATTGTCTGACACAGCCTCTGAAAGAAGCGAGTTATTCTCTCATTTTCAGGCTTTTATAGTAACATATTCGTATAATTTTTGCTTTGTATGCACATTACCTTAAATAATCTTCATGTTGGATTTTCCTGAGTTTGTGGTGCTCTTCCTGGCGTTGGATTGAGGTTTGGAATCGTGGGGATTAAATACCAATAAGTGTTTTTTTTTATAATCATTGACTTCTTAAGAAGAAAGAAAAACATCTGCTGATCAGTCCGTAAATTGCCACAAATATATGTTAAAAACAACACAAAATTGTTCATAAAGAGAAAACAGAAAAAATATATTGGTCTATTAACTTTCCAAATAATTGTTGATTTTTCAGGCTCTGCCTAAAGGTTGATCTAATGGGAGATGACCAAGTCCTTTTTATTTTTTCTGAAGTGGAAAAAGATTATTAAATATCCTCTTTTTTTTTTTTTTAGAGGAGGGGGGGGGGGGGGGGGGTTGCTCCTACATGTGCAAGCAATTTATGTCTCAGTCACACAATCATACCAACTTTAAACTGACTCAAAACACCTGTTTCATGGCCTCATATTATGTATAGTATGCTTGGTCTGTTGTCAGGCTTGTTTTGATCTTGTTTGAATGATAGAGGTTTGTGGAAAGAAAATCGTAAAACCATTTCCCAGGTCTGCACACTTTGTTCTGGGAGTCTCCTAAAAATGTCTCAAGTTCATATGAATTTGTGAGATTGTCTAAATCGTTTCGGTTAGGAGTGACATTTTTTGAGGTGTGAGCTGAAAAATAGGTATTGATTGTTGTACTTTGGTAAGAATCATGAGAATTGGTGATTTGCAGAATGAGACCTTTTGAACTGTAATATATTGTAAGGAGAAGAAAGAATGATACAAAACTGATCAATTTGGGTAATAAATCAAAGCAGATGAATATGTTGCATGGTTTATCATTCCTTCTTTGTGGAGGTTTTCTGTAAGCGAGTCCCCGCTGAGTGAGATGTTCATTGCAAAGATAGAAGAAAACTTTGTAACAAGTTGAATTGTGTGAAAGCAGAAAGGAGTTGGTGAAATTGTGTGAAAGCAGAAAGGAGTTGGTGAAATTGTGAAAGAAACGGAAAGATGAGAAACTTGCGACTGTTTGAAAGCAGAGAGAACTAAATTATATTTACACGATATTCTTTAATGTGTGCACGACACATCAATAACGGACTAGTAACTTTACAGGTTATTCCGTACTATATGTAACACCTCTATGGGTGCCGTGTTGTAGAGCCTTGAATCTTGTCTACATCAAACAAAGTTTGCACTTTCCACATAGAATTTATTCTTCTTCTTCTGTTGAAGTACAGGCCACCATGTTGTTCGTGTATCTTCATTTATCCATATAACAACAAAAATCTCTCTGGTTAGGAGCCTAGGGACCTGTGAATGGCAAATCCCGCCTCTGTTGAACATCTAGTTAGAAGAACAAAATGTTGAATGATTGTATAAAATTACAAAAGATGTTGGATATGACAGTTCTCTATCTCTCTCTCTCTCTCTCTCTCTCTCTCTCTCACACTTTCTGTTTTTCTCTCCCTGCCCCATACATTTAGAGAAGATTCTATATATTATAAATGTGTGCAAAGACTTGTGCACTATGTTCTCTCACTTTCTCTTTCACTCCCTTGCTTTCTCCCCTCGCCACTGCATACCTTACAGCGAAAATATGACTGTATAATGTTGAAGAAAAACAAGCTGCGTTAGGACTACATTTAAATATTTGGATAAGTAAGCTCTTCCCAATCAAAAATCATGAATGCTAGCATGAATCATATCAAAATTTTAAAAAGATATGTAAAGCTTTTTAGAGAAGAGATCCAAATCAGCTGTAAATTGTAACAATGTCACTGTCTAACCAAGGAGTTCCTCATGACTGGCAACAGACCCGAGGCGATCACAGCGTTTCTATGACTGGGGGGGGGGGGGGGGGGGGGGGGGCTTAGAAAATCATATGTTTTTATTATTCCCACATTTCACAAACTTTCTGTTCCTCAGTCAAGAAGAATGTCAAAATCAAAACTTTCAAATCTAATCCTGCTATAATTTCTTTCACAATCCAATCATAAAGATCATGTCATCACTGAATCTTGAATCTCCTTTCAAAACTCATGATAATGATACATGTTTATAAACCCATAGAAAAAGCACTGATCAATAATAGAGCACAAGAAAAAAAGACAGGAAGAACTTTCATTATATTTTTGTAGCAACATTTCTTGTTTAAGTGAATGATATAGTCTCTGAGACATTTCTTTGACACAAATAGAGAACGGAATATGAAATAATATTTGACATTTATAACTGCCTAGTGTACTCCTATACTCCTGAATTATAAACAACATTTCATATTTGGTAAAACTTTTAGATGTTTTGTATCACATATCATTCAAATCTACATGTAAGTAGTATACATAAAGAATTATAATATCAGAGACTGTAGAGTTGAATAGTGATATAATGTATATTTCTCTTAAATGCACACACACACACACACACACACACACACACATCACATAAAGCTTTAACAGAATTTTCTTACATAAATTTGAATAACACTTTGCAGACACAAAGCACATATTCTTTTTGACACAGAAATGAAAATAGACTTTCTTTCAAACTTAATTTTTCTAATTGTTTTGGCATGGTATTAAGTATCTTGCCTAATCATGAAAATAAGTACCGGTACATGTATCTTGGATAGAAATACATAAAAGTTCACATTCAAAAGGATCTCTAAGAATTGGAATTCTGATATTAACAATCTGATTCAGAGAAACGCCATTTTTTACATCAAATACTTACAGAGAGGTGCACCAAATAGCAAGCGCCAATGTAACCATTTCTAAGCATACCATAATCACAATTATCGTTTCAGTTTGGCCAATCATCAATATATCTCATCTGGGTGTGTTAACCAATGAAAAAGAATACAATTATAACCATCCAAAAGCTTATTCAATTTACTCTACTGAATGTTAGCTCAAACATGCACGTGTATAAACAAAGACTGTACAGTGGCAGAACATTGTCATCTCAACAAGTTGCTTCAAAATCTGTCTGCCGCATTTCAAATTCATGACGATGTGCATTGCAACATGCATTGTAATAAATATATGTATATTGGATCCTTTTTTACATGCGCATCCTTACACAGCTATTGAAGTTGAAGGGTGGAAACTTGGAATTGTACTAAAACCTGATGCTCGGTCTAAAGTTCTGTGTAACAAAATGAAAACTTAGCCCCTGCAGGGGCTAAATTCCTTTGCTAAAACACGACTTTAAACTAAAGACCATGTACACATTTGAGCAGAATACAGGCCGGCTATGTCTCTTTCATCTGTGAAAAGATCAGTGCAAACAGTTCACAAAATTTTAACTATCAAAATTTCAGGCTTGCATCTGAAACAGTGAACAATGGTACTCAACCTTCAATGCTAGCCAGGGTAGAAACAAGCAATGTATGCAAACTGCATTCTAGTTATTGAAATACATAAACTTGCAACATGGAAGTGCAGAAGTTACTAACAGGACTCTTTGGAAAGAAATTATTCACTATAAAATGGAATACCATATGTGAACAAGTCTATCATATAACGGGCTTTGCTAACTCTCTTTGATCTACCGTATCACATGACCATTACAACTATTTTTAAATTACTGAAAGAACTACAATGTTAATAAATACTCAATTATTAGATACATGTACATGACATGTAGTAATGAGCACAGACACATAGATGCGAGCAATTACACATTTTTGAATAAGTGTGACTGATTCAGTATTTAATAGAGTATATAATTTCACTGTCAATTGCTATATATATAGTGTTTCTTTGTATAATACATGTATATTAAAAATAAAATATATATGTATTTGGCTAATAGACTGGTTTACTGTATTGATGTTTCTTTCCTGGAGACCTACATGTACAGTACATGTATACTAGTGAAGGGTTATTCCATTAATTTATTGTTAATAAATGAACTACTATAATTGGAATCCAACCTGCATAAATTACTTGTTGCTATGTCAGGCAAGCCTTGGACAAGCTTTCAGGTTGTAAAAAAAACTTGTTTAAAAAGCCAAGTCAAAAACAAATTACAGGAGTATCCCTTCAAGTTATACATGAGTTGGTTTTGTGTGCTGCCCTCTAACAAAATGTAGCATAAAGGTGACCTTATCAGCGCACTGTTCTCCGCACATACTACATCGGAAGCTAGACCCTGGTTCATGACATCCCTTATGTATGACATACATCAAACTGTCTTCAAATGTGATACCACAGAAGGAACATCTCCATGGTAACCCCTCCTGGTCTCTATCCCCCAGCAAGGATGAATTGACCAGAGGGTGAGGAGGAGGTGGGTGACTGGACTGGGAAGATGAAATCTGCATATTTGGTGATTCACTGCTCATTCTCCCAAGAGATGGACCAGAGTCTGAACCCTTTCTAGAATCATTTCCCTGAGGTACAGAGAATCTAGGAGAAATGGCAGGCTCTATTGGTTTATCTACTTGCATGGTTCCACTGGATGATGATGCCTCTGTTCCACCTAGGGTCACAGACTGAACTTTCCTATGTTGATCATCTTTCTCATTATGCCTGCTTTTTGTAACTGAACCTACAACTTGGTGTTCAGTCCTTTCTCTGTTAGCTATTTCTTCGTCTCTGTTGAAAGTATAGTGAGGCTGTGGCTCCTGAATACTATCACCATCACCAGATGGTTCCTCTGATGTTGTTGTGTTACTATGTACTTGTACAATGTTCACAACTTCACTCCATTCTTCCTCCTCCTCAGCTTCTGTCTTGATGGTGATTCTGTTAATGGGACTCTGGCTTCTCTGTTCCGAAGCACTTTGGCTGCTTGGTGTCTCTTTGCTGACCGGGCTACTTGTTTCATATTGAAGACTCCCCATTGAATGTGCCGATCCCGCATATCTTGCTGCAAGGGATGGTGGAAACTCGACCAAAGCACCCTCTGCACTTGCAGGATACCTACTGATCATAGCAAAAGGTGCTGGAGGATTTCTCAAGAACGAGTCTAGACTCCTGCTACGGGTATTAGCTTGTCTCTGAGCAGAGACAGCCATCAAATGCGCAGCACTGTTTGGTGAGACAGGAGACAGACTTCCAGGTGAGTCTATAGGCGGTGACAACAAATCCGAACTAGAAATAGCTGTGCAACACGAGTTCTTCAGGTGCCTTTGATACTCTGCCTCGTCAGCCAACAGAACCCCACATTTGCATCTCCGAGGGTTCCACTGATAAAGTCTACTGTGCCCTTTCATATGGCCTTGTAATGCCCTATTTGTTTGGAACTGTCTGCCACAACGTCTACAACTCACAGGTTTATCTCCTTCATGTGATGTTGAAGGCAATGGGTCTGGGTTTCCCGATTGGAGGTCAACCCTAACAGGTATATTTGGTGGTCTGTGCTTTTTATAGGTCTTTACCATTGCAGGATGCTCTATGCTGATGTGCTTTTGCATGCTGCGAGAACCACCAATGAAGATTCCACAATGTGGACAGCTTCTCCTCTTTTCTGTGTGTATCTTCAAGTGCTCTGTCAAATGCTGAATATCTGAGAATTGAGCATGACAAAGGGTGCAGGTATGTGTCTGAATATCAGCCATGGAGCTCTTGTGGGATCGCCTGTGCCTTTGAAACGATGCCCGTGAGTTGAAGTTAGCAGGGCAATGTGGGCATGCATACGGCTTAGCTCCCATGTGCTTGTTGATATGAAGCATGAGTCTCTGTTGGCTAGAAAACACACGATCACACATACTGCACTTCAGAAGGAATCCTGGACTGCTGTTTTCTGATCCTGCAGCATTTGCTGATGCCTCACCAGGGCTGTCCAAGGATTCAGTTTGCATGAATTCAACCCTCACATCATCCTCAATGTCATCTTCATCATCATCATCCAAGACAACAAACTGCATGTCCATATTAGTTCCTGTGGTCTCTGAGGATGACTCTCTGGATATGTGACTACCATGCTTGGATAAGTCCTGTGGAACTGCAGACTCGTCTTGTTTCATTGTTACTACTAACATTGGATTCTGGGAGCCATAGTTCATAAGCTGGGTGCCTCTTTCAAGGGGTGGTCTGGTCGAGGGATCATCACTACTTTTTGACCTCTGTGACCTTGGATGTCCAGGGATACCCAAAGCTGAGCTGGCCTGTGGAGCTGGGTCAGGCTTGTCCTGCTGAGTGCTCTCCATTCCACGAGTGACAATAACCTGAAAATGAACGACAAATAAATTGAGGAATCAATTAGTTTCATTTATACAACTCACTCCTAGATCCTAATCAAATGATTGGTCAAGCGCAGTCACATGTGATTCATTTACTAAGCCTATTGCACTCGTTTTAATGAAAAGGAGTGCAATATTTCCAGTACTATTGAACTTGTTTTGAGAGCGCAGTAGTGCGCGTAGAGGTTAGAGCGCGTAATACTGCGTGAGCATGAGCCTATTCTTGCGCAGCACTATGCGTAAATGGGTATAGGGTAATTAGTGCGCTTGCTATATCTATAGCTATGTTTGCACACTAAATTAAGCCTTATTAAACTTGAGATTTATTTGTCAGCCAAATACTGTCACAAACAATCTTGAATGAATTTTTTTTTACACCAAATAACAAGGATCTAGGAGTTTCGTTGTATAAAACAAATGATGCATGTTTTCATTCATTCATTATAGATCTACGATCTATCCGCCCTCGTTGATGCTGTGTGTATCTATCGCACTCAGCCTAATGGCTTCGTGCAATAGATACACACAGCCTCAACTCGAGTGCAGATAGATCGTATAATGAACTCATGCGCATGCATCATTTTTATAATATAGATCTAGATCTAGTCTAGATTCTAGGCCTATTAGAGGTCTATAGTCTATAGAAGTTCTTCAAAACGTATTGTTTATTGTCTGCCGAGTGTTGTTCTATTTATCATGAGGATTACTTCAATCCGAGATCATATTCATAGAAATATAGAGTAGGCCTAGACTCAATCATGGAAGCACAGCTCAGGTCGTCAGGAAGTGATTTGTTGACATCTGATTCCGACTCAGAGAACTATAGGGGCTAGGGGTCTAGTTCAGATCCAGAGATCCGTATAAAATATAGTTCAGGCAATCTGGATTGTAACCGATTGCTGGGCACTTGTTTATTTTGCTCTAGGTCTATCCCAACAATGAAGGTCCCTGACATTTTGTAATAGAATTTAATTTTCTAGGGAGGTCTATTCTCTAGATCTATCTAGATCTACTCACGTAGTGCCTAGTCTGTCTGCTAATGGCGAAGTGGAAGCTTTCAATTTCACATCATTCATTCACAATCACAGTTCCTTTCACGTTCAGGCACTGTGTGACTGAACCAGGTTGAGCTGAATATAATTCGAAGATGTTCCAACAAACACTGTCTTTAGTATAGGATCTGTAAGCAGTATTCTTAGAGTCAAGACAAACAGAAATTTATCAAAAAGATGGATTGGATTCCATATATTCACAGTGAAATAATATTGTACCACACACATTACTAGGGAGCTGTATATATTTCGATTATTCTATTCGGACTCAGGGCAAACCAAGAATGGGATAGAAACAAATAATGAAAATTTGAAATTTACTGCTCTGTTCAATTAATTTAGAAAAAAGTGTTGAGGACAATTAAAAAACAATAATGGAAATTTCTTGTAGAATTAGTAATGTAAATCTCAGTTTGCATGGTTTTTAACAGTTTTCTTGTACAGCTCAAGCTGATAAAAAAAAGGTACCCTAATGACAGAATAGCAGCTTCCATGTCCAGCAGACGTCACGGCAAAGGTCAAGGGTCGAAGCTTTGCGGATAACCGTGTGAACTCTGATTGAAGTCAATCAAAGAATTTCGGTAATATTTCATTTTATACATTGTAATTTTCTGTATTCGTATGTTTTGTGATTTAATTAAGCTGTCTATCATTATATCTGTGATTCATGTGTTTCCCAAGTATTGTAAGACATGAATAATCGTAACGGAAGCGACGTAGACACACAGTCAACGTACGGAGCGGCCGGAGTCGGACTCGTCATTTTGGGTGGAGTGCATCATCATGACTTCAGATGCAGCGGCTGCTGCAGGGGAGGGCTTCCACAAATCCGACGGGCGTCCCTCCCTGCTGAGCGGTGCGCTGCGAGCTGCTCGCTGTTCGCTGTGTCTGTAAAATGAATGCAGAAGAAAGTTGAACTGAAGCTGTGTGAAGAAAGAATATGTTTTTTTTGGTGTTGGTTGCGTGTTTTGTTTTATTAGAATCGCGCAGAAGTACCTTCAGAGTTCACAAGTGGACTGTTCTTTCTTCTCATTGAGTCTCAGCTGATCCACACTTTGAAATCGGTTGAGAATTTAACTTGCCCACTTCACTTGCCCACAAGAATTAAGAATTTAAAAATGTGGAAATTTGTTTCTGGATAGCGGTTTGTTTACCACAATACATATACCAGTTGTACCTCCACGCATGTGCTCCTGATGATAATGACCTAAAAATGTGATTTACAGTACAATACAAATGCAAGCACACTGCCACAAAGGCAAGTACATACTACATGTAGACTTCTAGACCGAATTTTCCGTCTCTTTCGTTCGTTAGCCTCTTATTGGGGTAGGGTCGGCTCTCTCTTTAGAGACCGAAACAGACTATCCCGCGAAATGTGTAGGGTTATGTGGGCAAATCAGCACACCAAACTTGCAAAACTTATCCCCGAATTACTCCTTTCACAGGATGCATAGCCAATGCATTTTATATTGTAAATTAGATTAAAACTTAACTACTTCGGTTCCACTTACCAACTTGACTGAAATAATCCGTTTAATGGTCCATTTTTAAGAAATTATGGGTCAAAATTGATATCCATGATAAAAATCTTGCAGCGGGCGTTTAAACTCTTGCTGCGCATGACGTCATCTAAATCTCATCTCTTTTAGTCTACGCCGAAGGCAAAATGATTATAACGGAAAAACTGTGCATGTCATTACGAACTCGTCGCTCATGGCCAAATTCTGTGTATAGATGGCTCTGATGTAAATCGCATGTTTGCCCATTATCATCATGGACACAGATGGCAAGCAAAGCTACAAAGGTTGTTTGCAAGGTCCGTCGAGGAGGAATGGGCAATTACACTGTTAAGGGTTTGTTGGTATTAAACATCACTCTTCATGCAAAGGAATGCCAATTATGGATTGTTGTTATCAGTGCCATACTTTATTATTACCAACCTGTAGCCCTAAGGCTATTCTTGACTTAGCTGTGAATGCAAATAAGACCCCAAATCAGGCAAAGCACAAATTTATTGATACAAAAATGGAAACAAAATTGTTGAGTGTATGATTTCAAGTGTGATTACATCTATAAATGTCAATTTTATCAACTAATTTTTTTTACAAGGAACTTGTAACAGAGATATGATTATTTGAAGAAAAAAACATGGAAAAAGTGTCAACATGGAAATGGGATGCATGACATACATGTAGCAAGTAAACTGTTTTTTAATGAATGTAATTTCATAAATGTTTTTGCTGGCTTACACATGGCCTCTCAAAGCAATCTTTAACTTAATTTTATGCACATTTACATGAAGGATAATTCTCATTACCGGTATTACTGTTAACCAGTTTCTCTTGAAACAAAGTTTCATCGCTACAACTTAAACTTAACTTATTGCCTATAACAGGAACCAGGTGATGTATTAAGCCTATGGGAATTAGAAAATTCAGTTAAATCAATGAGTTATGATTGGATTATTCACAAAGAAAATCATTGTCATCTTTTTTCCTTTGGTACAGATTTGGTATTGGTATTCATTCTCCTAACACAATGGGGAATAAGCATTCATGTAGCTGCTTACGAAGCTGTCACAAGAACCCAACCAGACGGGCACACAGGACATCTTCACAAGAAATAGAGCGATATGAACCGTCCCCTGAAGATATTGATGTGGATGAGAGATCCAATCTCCAGCACATTGGTGACAGAGAGACAGGAATTGAAGGTAAATAGCATCACAGGTTTGAAATTTGCATAGTTTATTTGTGTTTAAGGTAGTGTAAACCATTTGACAAATGGAAGTCACGCCGTAAGCAGGCTGTATTCTTATAAGTGGAAAGACCATGACCTAAAGACAAATGTATAGTGAAATGATTTATAGAGTTTAACATTGACCTCTCCATTTCTTACAAACTATTGTGGTTTTGTCACAAAAATATTGATGAAATGTAACATTAAGAAATCATATCATGATGACATCATTTTTGTTTGCTCATGGAGTTATAGAATTGTTGTAATGTATCCCATGCCCCACAAACTTTCATTTCATTTTTCAATTCTTTTTTGTTGTTTTTTCTTAATGAAAGAGGAAGGGTATTTAGAGCTTAAAATTAAGATCACAGAGGGCTGAATGTTTTTTGTACAGTATATGAAAATACAGTTGTCAAAAGAGGGCCAAAATTTTGAAATGCAAATGGACATCCACTGGTCATGTTCCATTGGCAGCCTTCTGCTGGGCAGATAACAAAATGTTTATAAAAAACACATATTACTACAAGTATCTCACTCTGGGAACTTCGAGTGAGAACATGAAATCTCTGTTCCCTTTTACATTCTTGAACTTGCTCTTTAACTCATTCAATACCCATGGCATTTTTCAGAACACTACGTGTCATCTACATGTATTATGTACATGTACCTGTATCGCATAATTGACCCCTAGTATCGAATAGGTTAATGCTAACACTGATGAGCACTCAGTGTGGAGACTGTGCAGCCAAGCAGAGGAGCTAATGCAGTCATTAGGCTTTGAAGTAGGGACGTCTCTATTCCCACAGCTTGCTCATTATAGCACATAGAGAAAGATCGAGAAAGCTAGTGATTATGTCACATGTGTTGTAATAATGTACCAGTAGAATGAAAAGATTGTATCTACAGTGTAGGCTGCTATCTCGCATTCTGTTTGTACCGTATGTATATTATTTTTGTTAAGCTTGAAAACGGATTTTGAAAATCCCAATACCTACAATGTACAGGGTACATACACTACTCACCTTTCTAATAATTCCAACAGATCTTTAGTCAAAATTTCCTACCATTCCGCTCTTTTTTTTCCTCCAGAAAAATTGGGGTTTGAAATAATACTTAATGCGGTTTTATAATTTTCAGAAGGTGTGCTTTGTGCTTTTTTTTGAGTAGGCACTAGGCAGTGTGAAATCATCACAATAGCTGACTTTGCCTTTGATCGAAGCAATATATCTATTTTGGAATTTCAAGTTTAATGAATTTGATACTACATGTAGTATACATGTTCTTCTCCTCAATTTAAATACTACATTTATGTCTTGTATATAAATACTATACATACATGTACATGAAATAGCTTAAAGGGATAGTTGAGTTCTGTTTTCAGACCGCAAATCCTTCACAGTGCATGGTTATTGCTCTTATTCTTATCTATGACATTTCTAGTGCCCTTTTAGAACCTAAAATTGCTACATGTATGAAGGTAATTTTAGACCCCAAAATGTGTGAAATTTAGCCAATACGATCATACAAATTCAGCTCCACTTTCAAAAAAATGTGGTGACCGTTAATTAATTATTTAATTCAAAATAGCAATACATGGGCCGGCTGGTTGTGCGTAATATAACCAAAATGAAAATGCCAACAAAAAAGCCAACGTCGGCATTGGCTGAAATACGACGTAAAAGGCGCTACTTCGTTTTTTCAACAGCTTTTTCAAATTATCTAATATTTGTGGTGGTACACAAGTATTAGAAATTGTTATATTTATGGATATTTCAGCCGTCTCTGAAACGATTTTGATCAAACAAAGATGATTTGGTCATTAAAATTGTATGTTCTTTCAAATTTGACACTCAGTTTTTCATTATCTCACACAAAATTATTTTGTGTAGCGCCCTCTGCAACAGAACTCAATTTTCCCTTTAAATACATATACCGGTAGCTAAATTCAAATAACTCAGAATTTTATGAATGTGACCTGGGCTTAAATTAGGCTGTTAGTATCCTTGAAAATACATTTTTATGACATGAACATTTACAAAAAGAATACCCATGTAAGAACTGTGATGACTCTGCTGGTTAGGGATATTGAATATCATTTCCTTATCATTGTGCATTTTTCAGTCATTGATGTCAGTCTGGTCTCAGTTCAAATCGACATGGTTTGGTAATACTGCAGTTCAACGGAACATTATGGTTTGGTTAAATGTTTGCCCTAAACTTGTAAGACTCCTAGTCTTCTACATGTATAATGTCTGTAGCTCATATCAAGATTGTTCTGTATGGGTTGGGAATTATTGAGCTAGAAGGAAACCTACATGTACATGTAAGTCTTGAGTTAATTTTCTAAGATGAGATATACAGTGTACATGTGCCTGTAATAACTGTATTAAATTCAATTAAAAAGAAGTAAAACATGACAGTTTTTCAGATCCAATCTGAATCTCAAAAAAATATAGGTATGGCTAACAGACTTGAAACTGTAGGCCAACACTATACATTTGGTCCATTTTGGAAGTTTGTTAATTTGAATGATGACAAATTTCAATTAATAATAATAATAATAATAATAATAATAAAAACGGCGCTTATAAAAGCGCTTACCACCGAAGTCTCTAACTGCTATTAAGGTTCATCCTATTGATTCCTACAGCACAACATACAGTAAATCTAAATGTACTGTAGTATTGGTGCAAACTGCAAATCTGTATCACACATTTAAGCATCTACATGTATGTACATTGTACATGTACATAGATTACAAATCTGCATTAAAAACAATCAATTGAAAGGTACGCCTACTGATTGATCAGCTGTCTGACATTTGCATTGCTTTGTTTTTATAATCAATAATTCATCACATTGGCTTGCTTTAAAGGCCAAGCTTAGGTTCTGGGTACAGATTTATATTTTCAAGAAAAATTGGGTGTTAAGTGCATTTTCAGTAATGACATGTAACATGTGCTTGTCCATGATCATATGCATTAGCCTACATGTAGATGTTTGTTTTGATCTGTTATTGAAGACAGTGTACTTTTCAGTATAATTTGTTGTAAATTGAATTTTCTTTATTACAGCTCATAGTACATGTACAGTTAGTATGTTGATACACCCTGTACATGTACATCTACACATTGTACATGCATATAGTGTCAATATGTCCAGCATAATTTTCTTGTCTTTTTGTTTGTTGTTGGTCATATCTTCAACCATTAGGCCTGTGCAGCCTATATATTAACTGTATTGTAGAAAATTTGTTATTTGTAGTCTTGAAATTGAACGTTTAGTTTGAGTTTGTTTGAAGTCATTGAGAATTTATTTGTCGCTGTTACTAGAAATCTAGATTACCTCTAATACACCAGTCACACAGCCAAACCAACTCGACAACTTAACTCCAAACTGACCAACTCTTGGCCTGTCAAGGTAATATAATTTTCGCTCTTGTATCAGTCCTGTTGGTGTCACTAAGGTATAAATAATACTAATAATAATACATTATATTTCTATAGCGCTTATTACAATGCTTCTAAGCGCTTTACAAAGTTGGCAATACTTAGATATTAATACATTCAATATCATATTTACATAATATACTAATCAACCTACAATTAATTCAAAATACATAAGCACAGATACATCCAGTCAATACATATAAATACAATAGAATACATAGTATATAAAGCAAGAAGACAAGATAAGATGTGCAGAGTACTTAGTCTTGAGGAGGATACGTTTCATCATGTCATTGGTATTTTTGGAATGTTTGTTGAGCAATAGAGCTGTCACACGGCACACAAACAAGTACTGTGTACAGTATATATTGAAGTGTACTGAACTTTTCTTAGGTTCATATCAAGATATTGTTTAGTTTGCATGCATGCACAAACCCTTGTCAGGCATTGTGCAACAGTGTCTGCATTATGAGACTACTATAGGCTCTGTACTTGAGCTGCTCCTGGCAAGATTTGACACAGGCAGAAACTGAGAGATATCTAGGCTCTGCTCAAGGTTTAGGAATCATGTTAAAGTGTCACATTAGAGTCTGTGCTTGCAGACTATGCACAGTTGGGGAAAAGATGGGTTGGATACTTGAATTTCGAACTTTACTAAACCAGGGCCCAGTTGCTACCATGTCAACATCACTGAACAGCCAAACAAATCAAAGTTTTCATGGAAGTTACCATTAATGACAAAGTTACCATCACTGCTGGGTTTTATGCCACGGGCCCATGTACTTACATGTAATAGCCAGCAATATGATGGGTAGATCTTAAACAAAAACTGAAACAAATGGAAATGTTAATAAAAAAACATAACAATCTGAACAATGCTAACTTGTACATGTACATGTACATACTGTACTATTGTATAACATTTTTGTTAAGTTTGAAAACAGATTAAAAAATTCCAATACCTACTTCCCACCTTTCTAATACCAACAGATCTTTGGTTGAAATTTCCTACCATTCCGCCGTTTTTTTTTTCGAGAAAAAGTGGGGTTCGAAACTTCGTGCAGTTTTATATTTTTCAGAATATGTGCTTTGTGCTCTTTTTTTTTGAGGAGCCAGTGTGAAATTATCATGATAGCTGAATTTGATCGAAGCAATATACATGTAGATATTTCTATTTTGGAATTTCAAGTTTAATGAATTTGCTACTAGTATACATACATGTTCTTCCTCATGTTAAATGTAAGTACATGTACTTATTTTCTCATTTCACAGACAATGTATGCAGTACAATTTGTTCTTGTCCATTGTATTCTGTACTTTTGTATGGCTTTGTTCTATTCAGAGTCTGAACCTTCTATGGATTAGAACACTCATGCATCATTAAACAAACCTAGATGATTAGACATTATGATTTAGGCATGAGTCATTGCTCTTTCATTCCCATGTCACAATCTAAAGCTAATCTTAAGTTCTGGAAATGAAATGAATAGGAAACTGTTGTAAAGTATTGACCTAATTGCATGTTATTGCTGTAGTTAGTACATAGTCAAGTACGGTATTGATTCTTTAGACTGTCACCAAATTGTTATTACATTGAAGTAGAAACTTTAACATACATGTAGGAAATGACATTTACGGTACTGAAAAGCACAGGACAGATGTGGCCATATGGATAATGGAACCATATGGGACTATATGTTGTAGATGTTGATTCATGCATGGTCAACTGAATCAGCTGAGAGCCAGAAGGGCATTAACTCTATGCAGAGACTAACTGTATCTCTGCTCTATGGGAAGTGGTACTGTTTCAAAGTTAATGCCCTTTAGACTATCAGCAGATGAGTCTACTACGATACATTACATTGTACATTAGTTTGCATGATTTCCTTCAAATGTTCCCAAATTCAGGTAATTCTGTGCAATGCGCTCCACATGACAAATGTCTTTTTTTTGTCCATGTACAGTACATGTATCATTGATAATTGAATAATGGTGCTTTCTGGTATCACTACCATTAGCCATAGTCATACAGTATTATTAAGAGATTGTTTTTTATTGATGAAATGTACATGTATGGATAAATGCCATATGTTGTATGGAACCATTGCGTGCCTGCACAGAGCTACCCTATTTAATATGATTTTTTTTTAAATAACCAAATTCACTTTATATCAGAAGGTAACCAAGGCTTGGATATCTGTTGAAGTTTTGTTTGATTTGTGGGAATTAATTCCAGAACTCAAGATTACTCTTAATATTTCAATTATTCACCTTCAGCATGCAGTAATGATATCTATCTTTTTTCTTTTCTCTTTTTCAGAGGATGTGTTGGATCCATCTGTTCACCCGAGAACTAGCACCATTTTCCTCACCAAAGCAGAGTCATTAGGTATGAACACATTTCTGATTTGTATTAGGATAATTTTGATTACATGTGATTATGATATTTCCACCTTTAACAAAAATAAACCTGAAAGGCATAATTTGAAGGAACAAAATGTGATTTAAAAAAAGAAGAAGAAAAAAAAAGGAGATAATATTGCTGTATATAGTAAAGTTATAACCAAGTTAGGGGTTATGTAATTACTTGTTAAGACTAGATGTGCACAGTTTTTAAAAATAAATCTGCCATGTATCACACAGTGAATCAGCAAATGAGTAAACTGCCTACTAGTACTTACATTACATACTGTATAGACTAACTTATCATTAGATTGATTAGAGGCCCAGTTTGGTGTTATGCACATATGCAATATTTAGTAGAACTATGTTCTAATTACATTGTACATGTATCATCAACTTGCAGAACTTTTGCAGAGTACATGTAGTTAGTCAGAGCTTTGAAATCTTCAAGTTCTGATCTTGTACTAATCTTACTACTGTATTTCTGTGATCAAACAACATTTTTTCAAATATTCTTTATTACTCTTCTTGATCTTCAAAAGACGTTGTAATGATGCTTTGCCAATGGAGTACTGCATTCTCTCATTCCCATTGGCTTACAAGAAGAAGACCCATCATGCCCCTGTTTCATAAATTTCATCAATAACAAATGTCACATTTCTATAATGCATGCTCACAGCCAATCAAATGCAACAATTTCAGTAGCTGACTTGTTGATGTTGACAAGTTTGATGAAACAGGTTGACACTTAACTGTTCTGTACATCAGTGGACTAAAGCTATCCACTTTAAACCTGGATCAAAGTTCGGAAGTTTTATGAATACCAACCCAATGCATTGAGTTTTTTTAATTTGATTTTTTTTCTTCTCCTTGATGTGATACAGAGGTAACACAAGACAGAAGAAACCATCACAATGACAGCAGGCTGAGTTCAGTCAGTAAGAAGTTCAGTTCATGTTCAACCATCTTTCTAGATGACAGCACAGTATCACAACCGAACCTCAAGTCTACGATACGATGGTGAGAAAAGATGAGAGCAAGAAACCTATCACCTGCTGAGAGCTAGAAGGATGTTCACTCATAGCAGTTATTACAGAGTTTGTATCCTTCTGGCTCTCAACAGACTTAGTACTGTAAATCTCCATGTACATGTATAAGACGCACCTGTGTATATTAAAGACGCACCCCTATTTTGGGGGCCATTACAAAAACAAACACAATTTTTTTTTTTTTTTTTTTTTGCCGACTCTGTAGGCAGCAAGCCACAAAAATCCAGGTGGAGAAGGACCTCTATTTTACTGTGAGGTGCAGTTGAAGGCGTCAATTTGTGCTTGTGAACTTGTGAAGTTTTTTATTGTTGTTGTTTTGTTTTTTTGTACCTGTTTATAGGACGCATCTCGACTTTTGATAAATTTTTTTGGCGGGAGAAAAGTGTGTCTTATACACATAGATTTACGGTATACTGTGCTAGTTAAAGATTGTCAAAGTTGCATTTAGAAATTGTCAGAATGATTGGAACATATTGTACAGAATAATGCTAGCTCATGTATGATTTAGACCTAAAACGATTTAAAAATATACTGTATATATATTCAAAGAAAAGATAAGTGTAGTATTGGTTTAGGGTCTGAGTTTCTTCTGATAACATTTGTACAGTGATTCAAATTAGCTGTTTTCAATATATTCAGGATATATTCAAGCAATTCAAGTCTATATGTAGCTCACATGGTAGACTAGTTGAATGATATTTGTAAGTCAATGCAATATGATAGTAAAACAATGAATGAAATGATAACTGGAGACTTGAAAACAGTGCATCTTAAATATAAACAATTATCCTACATGGACACAATAAAGAAATGAAATGAAAAATGAAATGAAATGAAATTTATGTATTACTTGACCTATAGCAAGGTTTAAGTGAATGTCTCTGTAAGAATGGCAGTAAACAGTAATTGGTCAAATTAATATTGCTGGTACAAAAGCCAGATTGTGAGTACAATGCTATGCTTCCAAGGAGTTACATAACTCTTTGAACAATATCTATCAATACATGTCCAACAAATTAATCTCATATATGTGTACATGTATTTTGCATCCTTATTACAGTTATCAGTCACTGTACTTTTTATCTTCTCAAATTCAGTGTGGCATTGGCAATATACTACCATATAAAGAATAGAGACAGTAGCAGACAAATGGATATCTTTGATGAAAAGCAGTACCCACTATCAGTAAGTATACTTTCTGATGCACAAAGGAGAAGGAGAAGGAGAAGGAGAAAAAGGAGGAGAACAAGGAGAACAACTAGAAATAAAAAGGAGAAAGAAGAAAGAAAGAAAGAAAGAAAGAAAGATTGAAAGATTGAAAGAAAGATTGAAAGATTGAAAGAAAGATTGAAAGAAAGAAATAAAGAAAGAAAGAAAGATAGAAAGAAAGAAAGAAAGATAGAAAGAAAGAAAGAAAGAAAGAAAGAGAGAAAGAAAGAAAGAAAGAAAGAAAGAGAGAAAGAAAGAAAGAAAGATAGAAAGATAGAAAGAAAGAAAGAAAGAAAGAGAGAAAGAAAGAAAGAAAGAGAGAAAGAAAGAAAGAAAGAAAGATAGAAAGATAGAAAGAAAGAAAGAAAGAAAGAGAGAAAGAAAGAAAGAAAGATAGAAAGAAAGAAAGAAAGATAGAAAGAAAGAAAGAAAGAAAGAGAGAAAGAAAGAAAGAAAGAAAGAAAGAGAGAGAAAGAAAGAAAGAAAGATAGAAAGATAGAAAGAAAGAAAGAAAGAAAGAGAGAAAGAAAGAAAGAAAGAAAGAAAGAAAGAAAGAAAGAAAGATAGAAAGATAGAAAGAAAGAAAGAAAGAAAGAGAGAAAGAAAGAGAGAAAGAAAGAAAGAAAGAAAGAAAGAAAAGAGAAAGAAAGAAAGAAAGATAGAAAGATAGAAAGAAAGAAAGAAAGAAAGAAAGAAAGAGAGAAAGAAAGAAAGAAAGAGAGAAAAGAAAGAAAGAAAGAAAGAAAGATAGAAAGATAGAAAGAAAGAAAGAAAGAAAGAAAGATAGAAAGAAAGAAAGAAGAGGTGTATAACCAAAAGAAGATCTGACATGCCAACTAAATGTAAACTGCGCTTTATAACTGCGGCAGTCATTTTTTCTCATCCATTTCTAATGAGATCTTGACTGTTGACTGTGTGCATTATGCTACTTTTTCCAGTAATCGGAATGTAAACATTTTAGATTAAAAACAACCAGCATAAAAATTCATGTACTTTCTATCCAAACCTAAGTTTTGTTAATGGGCACTTTGCAAATACAAAATCACTTCTGCTGTCCACTCCATATCAAAGATGTTTTCTATGCTTATCATTTCCTGGTATAAAAGTATTGTGTTTCTAAGCTAGTGTCTATCAACCCTTCAAGAAAACAACTTAATTACTATGCTAATTGTTATTGATACAGGTTTCATATGTTAATTCCTTCTTGATTGCAGGGCAAACATGTGAATAATGAACTCATCTTAATTTGCTGACCTAAAAAACAGAGTTCCCCTCTGAAGTCTCGTTCAGATATGACGTGGAAAAACCGCTGGTTTAGAACTCGTATCCTACACACTACTGCACCACACGCACACTGTCTGCGTAACGTGTCGTAGGCTTCACATTTTTTGTATCTTATAACACAAAGCTCAGTGAATACACTCACAGGACCTTTGCCATTCATTTATATGTTACAAGAGTGTGGCGGCTCTTTTTGGTGGCTGTTTACTCAACCATATATGAAAAGCCCTTGACAGGTCCATTCATTTTCTCTTCCTTGTCAAGGATATAAACCATATTGTCAAGTTGGGACAAAGATGGGGTCAATGATGATTACGATTATTGATGTGATTATTTTGTAACTCACTATTCAATATGAATTGAAACTCTAGATATCTGTATTGTTTTGACTGTATATTCCACACACATTGTGCAAATGACAAAAGTTGACTGTGGGACATGTAGTACACCATTTTTTCCGTAACGGGTAGTCTATTCAAGTGGAAGAAAGAGTGATGGATTGATAATAACCTAATTTTTCTTGTTAATATTTGTTTGAATTTTTTCTCAATGTGCAGAAAACTCCAGTACCAGAGGATTACGACAAACACAATCCAGAACACAGGCATATCTACAAGTTTATTCGCATGTTATTCAATGCAGCTCAGCTCACAGCAGAATGTGCAATAGTTACATTAGTAAGTATGAAGGTCTACAAGTTTCAACAAACGGATTCTGGAAATATTATGTAATAATTGGATTGATAACTTGCTCATCCTTGTAGATTTATACATGAAGATGTAGGATGAAACTTTTTTTCATAAGTTGTCAGATTTTTAATTTTACGTTCCAAATATTGTTTTTCTTCATTCATATATAAGGATTCTAATATTTATAATATTCCTGTTCAAGGAAAGTTAGGTTTTATGTGCACTGACTGACTTTAATAGGTGCGTTCTAAATGTGTCAGTATAACAAATTGGGTTCATTTAAAGATTGATAAAAATGTATGAAATATTGGTCAACATGCCTGCAGAATGCATACCATATTTCAAAACTCGTAAGGCTGATTGGGCTAAAACTTACAATTTAAGCTTTGAAATCCTCAATCGCCCTGCAATCCAAAAATTAGCTAATTTAAAAGGGGGTAGAGTTTAACCGATGAGGTGATCTGGCAAATTATTGCCCATTATTACACTTGAATAAAAAAAAATTATATATATATTGATTTTTCTTTGCAGGTGTATTTAGAGAGATTATTAACATATGCTGAAATCAACATCACGCCTAGCAACTGGAAACGAATGGTCCTTGGTGCTATCCTCCTAGCTTCCAAAGTATGGGATGACCAAGCAGTCTGGAATGTAGACTACTGTCAAATTCTAAGAGAATTAACAGTAGAAGATATGTGAGTATCAAACTCTAAAATTGTAAGGGAATTGCAACAATTTAAATTTGTCGTAACTGATAGCTCTGTGTGGAAGCTCTTATGAAATTTAGGTTTAATCTAATGAATTTTGTATTTGATTGTGTTTACTTTTGAGAGCTTGTGGTGGCTTTCCAGAACTGGGAAATTTCTGTGTATTGATATTTTAAAGCTGAGGCTTAATGAATAGATGCTGTTGATAAATCTATTTTACAAAAGTAATTGCCACTAATACCTTTAAAAAAAAAATTGATTTACATTTGCCACTCTCCACCTTGGTGAAGTGATTGGATTTTTCTTCTCCAGTCACCAGGCCACAATGTTCACTCTTAATTAGATTGTCCTAATCCAGTGTTGGATGCATTGTATTGCGCAGCAGCAGGGGGTGAATCCTTCCAGATCTTCTTGGTGCAAGGGAATGGGTAATTGGGAGGAATAAATTCTTTTAGTGCTTGGGTGCCATATCATGGTAGCCAGTCTACAGCCTTAGTATTGAAAATGTTAATGTAGGGCACTCAAGAAAAGTGATATCAATACTGATGTGGCTACCCTTGGTAATAAGACCTGATTATATATTATCACTACCTGTATGGTAGATCAATAGACCAGTTCGTAGTTAGCTTTGGTATGTATGACCTCCAAATATTCACAGATCATTTACACATGGAGATGTCCCACTGTGCACATTTTAGAATAATCACTTTACTCTGTAGCTCTCCAGCAAGCAAGCTCTAATATTAAAAAGAAAACACAAATGAATGAAAACGAACATAAACAAAAAGTGTCAAAATATTTTAAAGACAATAATGGATGGATTATAGGACACTGACATGTAAATCAAGCAAGACACACTTCATATTTGCAAACATTCACTTGTTTGTTGGCAAGGGGGCTTGCCCATGTCCTTAATTTGGTTCTGGATCATATTAGACCACAAGCACACTCACCGAATGACCTGTCAATACACCTTTTCGATTGGGAAAAACATGAATAGATTTCATGTATTCAAACTCTAAGAGCGGTCAACATTCCGGTACTTGCATTCTGTGGGCAAAAAAATGATACTGTATACACAGGTACTTGTCCGAGAAAGGTCTGTGTACTGGAATTAGGCTTAAAAAACGGGCTTAATCTTAATCATGGAAACACAAGAAGGTTGCCACTTCCAAGTTAGGCTTGAAAAAGTACCTAGACCATGTTAAACTCAATGGTGTGATATTCTTTGTCTTCCAGGAATGAATTGGAGCGACAGTTCCTAGAACTTCTTCAATTCAACATCAACGTGTCAGCCAGTGTATATGCTAAGTACTACTTTGACCTCCGAGAACTCGCTGACACCCACGAACTTGCCTTCCCACTCGAACCACTCAGTACAGAAAGAGCCCTGAAACTAGAGGTAAGGAAATATTTTAATGATTACTTTAGATTATAAAAGGGTTCTAGAATGTAGGCAATCTAATTGGTCCTAAGACACTATGTGACCATCCATCATTCTTTCCAATAATGCATTCTGTGCAAAAAAGTTCATCATCAAAAAGGGATAACCCACGGCTAAAGAAGATAATGCAAGGCAAAGATGCTTGTATGCTTGTCTCTGGTGCGTACAAAAATTAAGACTTGATAAAATATGTGTAGTTTCATATAGCAATGAAAGTGATGCGCATGCTGAGAAGCGCAGATACTGGTGGGCTGTGCTTATGTACTGGGATGTCATTCAAAGCAAATGGCTGCCCCATGACTGTACAAATCTTGTTGTTTTAATAGGGTTTGTTGCTTAATTCTCAACTTTATATTAATTTCTTGAACCCTTTTTTTTAAACAAGTAATTCACAATTTAAAGCTGGTGTATTAGTCAAATATTGTCATTGATTAATTTGTTTTACGTTATCATTTTGTGGAATAAAGAAGAATTTGAAAATGGCAAATGTCCATGTCTCAGATAATGTGTTTTACCGGACTATAGAGGGAGACACATCATGATGACTAGGAAGTTGAATTGATCACAACTCTCATACAGACAGAGTACCAGCATATTTTGTAGTGACATGAACATGTAAATAGCATTGAAGCTTGCATTTCATTGTCTGTTCGGTTTTATTGTACATGTATTTGTTATATTGTTCTCGCACTATGCACATCATGTACCTAGTCATAGTGTATGTTACTGACATTTAAAGTCTTATTTAACTAGATGTAGATATCTTGCTTTGGGCAAGGTTAGATATGGGGGCTTTGTATTTATGACTTTATTATACTGATTTGCAGGCATGCAATATTAATATTTCATTTATATTCATATACTTCATCAATTCTTCACAAGAATTTCATATTTCATCACATATTGCCATATTTATTCTACATGAATATTGAAGATACAAATCTTTTTATGTTGTTTTGTTAGATAGTGTTCATTTAAGAAGAAACACTATGATTTTGATCATGATAGGTCAGTAGATAGGACAATCCCAGAGATGTTAAGTCTATTTTGATAGTTGGATTACCCATTTATTACTTTTTCAATGACATTTTTCAACAACGTTCAACAATAAGGGATAGAGCAACATCGATCTGGCGCTGCTCAGTGGCTGCCTGGCTCACGATCAATTGGGCAAAAAGAATTTTCATTTCGGTTTAATAAAATTTGGAGTGGACTATAAAAGATTATTATTTATTATTATTAGCTCTTATCATGTCAAGAAAGGACAATTTATAGTTGGTTCAATTTGGTTGTCATATCTTCTAAGGACCCCCTGGTGGTCCTTTACTTTACCCTTAAAACAAATCTTCACTGCTGATTCCTTTACTTTCAAGGCTAGGAAATGTTGTCTAAATGCCATGTACAGTATATTGTATGACGTAAATGGAATCCCCCTTTTAATATTTGTGAGGTCAGTATAACTTCTGTTGATGGCTATAAAATTCAAGCTTTTGAAATAGGAGAAGAAGGAAGTAGACTCCTTTTGTAAAGTGAAACAAACTTTGTAATACTATAAGGTTTCATTTTCAGTACAAGAAGTATTTATCAATCGATTCTTAAATCCTGTTTCAGTTTACAATATGTGGGTGTTTATCTTATCTTATGATTACATCATGAAAATATTACTAACAGGAATCTTATTACAAGGTTGATCTAGCTACATGTAGTGTATGACACTATACAACCCAAATTAACAAATTGTAATGCAATGTACAGGTAATGGAAACTTAGATATATTTTTGTTTGTAGTATAATTCTTTTTATAGCTTTTTAATGTCGATGTCGATGTCTCGACTTCATAATTGGTTATAATGCTTGTAGAAATGCCGCAGTTAATTATGAAGATATTAACGATATGTCAATTGTAGAAGAAACATAATAACTATTGATTTCACATACATGTATGTATATCATGGCCATTCCTGATGTTGATGTGACACACCACATGAAGCATGCTATATTTAAGAAGAAAAAGTTTCCTGACTACCTTTGGGTTTATTCAGGGTTCCCAGTTATCCTAGACATCAAAGAAAACCTGGAAAATGAATTCCTCTTTGTTCCAGTCATTGAAAAATCTGGAACTTTGAGAAAAATTACTCCAATCAAGGACAAATCAGGGAATTTCATCATCTTAAAAAGGAAGTAGTCAGTCTCTTCTATTTGGACCCATGTCCACAAGGCTTATCACCTGGATGATTAGCTATGGTGCCTTTTAATGTATATTATGAAATGCATGAGTGAAATGAAAACCTACCATTTTTCAATGAAATTGAATGTGATGCAGACTCATCCATGAAACTGTTTCCTGGGCCCTCTTCAACAGGTATTCTCCAAACCAACTGATGACAAGCCTAGAGACTTCCCACCCCACACCAGTGTAAAGAGATCACGGAGTGCAGACAGTATCCAAGTAGTGCCTCGATTCTCAAACGCCATCATCTCATGATGAAGGCTTGCATCTCACGGAGTCTGTCATCACGACGATTGGCGTCGTCATCACATGATCAGCTTGGCCATCATCTGATGAGTTCTGTCATCATGCTGTGATCGGCAATGGCGGCGGTGTCCAGTGAAGAGCGCCCTCATTTATCGTTGAGCGCTATCATCCTTGTGAAGTGAGTCCTCTTTGAGTGAAGACGACTGTCGTCTTGAGACAGAGGCCTTCAGCTCATCGTGATATTTGATATATGATGAATGTCCATTTTTTTTAAATCAATGAACCAAAGCCAAATCTTTATTTATTTATGAATACAAATGGTAGCGCACCTCAGAGAATAGACTGCATGAAGCATAGATTATTTTTAAAAAAGGGACCAAATATTTCCCTCATGTTTCATGTACTTACCATGAATCGGGTTTCATTTATCATTTGCAAGGTTCACGTAAAAGTCTGTAATCTTAATTTCAGCTAGTGGTTTTGTGTGATGTTGTGATGAAGGTCTGAATTGTCAGACACACTTTGACGCAATGAACTTCAAGGTTTTTTGCCAGCTGTCGTTACAACGACTGCATGGTCATCTTGTAATTTGAAACTGGTTTGGAATTGATATGTAAATCTCTATGAACTGTTTAGACGAATGGTTTCTCACAGCAATCATTCATGTACATGCTGCATTTTGATATTCAGATTTTTAGTTACATAGTCTACAGAAACTAATGACATACATGTAGTTATGAATCATGAAGAGTAACATTTTGGTTGTAGGACATATGCTCCGCCGACAATTGCTCTGCAGTCAATATTCATAACTGAGCAAATTCTAAACAGCAACACTTGACCTTACCCTCTCCTACCCCTACATCTATTCTAAAATTCTTTGCAACTCCAACCGGAACCCTCCATCTTAGAGGAACTATATCTAGAGCAGTTGTCGTTATAGCATTTGTTGGAGCCCCACTATTACGTGTAATATCTCCACCTCATCTTTGTAAAGTGGGAGGGTATCATTCTTTGTCAAGGCAATATTTCAGGCAGTGTTTAGTTTTCAGCGTTAAATTTGAATTCCATTCAAAAATATTTAGGTGTGAAATTCCTCTACCTCTTTGAATTCCCACCCTGTATATTGCATGTTTAGACTTATCCTGTCTCCTGTAACATCACATTTGTATGAAGTACTTCACCAAACACTGTATTTGTAAGTCCCTTTGAATTCTTCACTTCTATTTATTTATACATAGTACATGTAAGGTATGTTCTGGACATTGAAAGACCTCTTTGAAATGAGGTTTTCACCAGGTTTATTAAGATTAAGTGAAAAAAATCTCCTCTTGTTATTGTATCTTCACCACTTACACTCTATATTCACTGGACCATTTTCTCTGTATTCTTTGTTAACTGATGAAATTGAATCACTGCAGGAGACAAATGTATGTGTACACTCGATGTATCTATTGCACCTACTGCAAATCATTGGCAGTTGAAACAGAGTCTTGTCAATTTTCAACAAAACTAAATCTTCAATTAATATCAGGGCTTATTAAAAGCCTGCTTGGACTATATGAAATTTATACAAAACTTGAATGAAGAAGCGTAGTATAAAGAACCATCGTATAGTGAATGAATGTGAAGACTAGAAAACAACAGCATGTAAAGAAACTGGTTTTGAAGAGGTGAATTCACATGGCAGTTGGCCAATCACCAGTAGCGCTCATGATAAGCTCCACCCAGTTATACCATTTTCATATGATAAGACATTCAGACTCGGAGTATAACGGGACACTGGTTCTTTATCACGGTTTCTTTCGAGCTGATGCACGAACATGTGTTTCACTCTACAGCATTTTGTTAAGCAATGTTTCTTTATACAATGTACAGACTAGGCAAAAAGTAATAAATTATCGCGTATGATTCTTGTATACATGTAGCTATGCAATGAATTCTGATGGTTTCTGTGATATCTGTGGCATTCATTCAAGACTTCCTATGCTGCATAGCTGTCAAAGCTATTGCCAAATGCATGATATTATATGTACAATTTTCATGAATTGTCCAAATTTCTACATTTTATTTATTAGTTGTCACAGCAACTGAAGAATCTGACTGTATATCAGCAAGTTTTAGAACTAAGAAAGTTAAACAAATTTCAAATATCTGTGTATGTCACAATGCCTGCAAGTCAATACACTGTACATACTTTGCATTAAGGTATTAAAACACGATATCAATACTCAACATAATAATATCATGTGTGTCTTCAACAATGGATTAAAGTTGCTTTATCTTGTATTTGTTATATACACCTATAGGTGTACATAATGATTTTCCCCAAAGATTGCTTTGAAATGTCTTTAATTTTTTGAAACCTCACATGTTGGCTTGAATATTCCTTTGTCAGATGCAGTACAAAAGAAAAATCTTTTCCTTTTGATCTTGATCATTTTGAGGGTTAAAATGGGCTTAAAAGACACAGGTGATGAATATATGATTCACGAAGATATAGTAGAGGTTTAATCACTTGAATTGGAATATAAAGGTCACAAGGTTGATCCCCAGCATAGCACCAGTGTCCTTGAGTAAGGCATTTTATCTATGCTACTCCTCTCCACCCAGGTGTTAAATAGGTATCTGTTAGGATACAAACATTGGTGTGATTGAATTTAGCATGTACTTGCTTGACAGAAGGGTGACTGACTGGAATGCTCCCCAGGGAGTGGAGAGTGTGCACTGTAACTGTAAATTGCAGGATCATAACAGAAACCCGTGACCGAGGCAAGCGCTTTGGACTGTTACGCTGTAACTCGTAAAGTGCTTTATAAGTAACAGTCATTATTATTATTATCACAATATAGAATTCTGATTTTCAGCCAGTTTCTCTGATCATGCAATTCCATTGCGATTTTGTTTATAGGAATATGACATTAAATAAGGATGTAAAATTTCAATCACTGTTTTGAGGTGAATAAGATGAATTGTCACAAGAAGAGGAACTGAGTGGACATAGTCATTATTATTTAAAGAGGTAAGAGAATATATTTCCATTTCTTTTAAAGTTGTATTCATGCTAGTATCATGCTGGAATTGCTCTGAAATTTGATTTTGTTAATGCAGTACTCATACGGTTGTTTGTACAACTGTTGCATAGCATAGATGTGCAAGATACCCTGTAACTTCTCCTTTTTTCATTACTTTGAAGGCAGATACAAAATTGATTAAAGTTTGCTAGAAATTTTAAAGCAGAATTCATCATGAGTATAATGTAGAATTTCAAATGACTTTTAAGTGTAATTAAATTTTAATTTTAATTGTAACATGTTTACAGGCCGTTTTTTTAAAACCCGAATGACATTGTTTTGACAAAAATAACTAAAAGGACAGCATCATGTTACATGTGTGTGAAATAAAAATTAAGACAAAAAAAGTTCTTGCCACAATTATCAATAGTGTTGTTTGTGTTTTTTAATTTTAGTTCTGTAAAAAATTCCATGTATTCTCTTATTTAAAATTTATTTAGTGATTAATTGCAAATCGTGTAAAATATTCTTTTTCATGTGTAGTTTACAATCATATATTTGGTTATTACTGCTTTCGTAACAGGGTTTAGAATTTTGAGTTTTTGACTTATGTCTAGAAGTTGTGGAAGCCTGTATTTATTGAATACGCAGTAGTAACAAGTTTTAATAATAATTTATATTACATTTTGATAAATAACCATTATTCTGGTTGGGAGATAACAATTTTACTCAAACATATTTCATTCCCCCCTCCCCTCCCCTCCCCCATCAAAATAGTCATTTTCAAGAGAAAAACATAGTATACACTATAATCAGGTGGAATTGAATGAAGCTAAAAGTCTCAAGATCATTCTTGATGCAATACAAATCGTTGAAAAGTTGGCAATACCTAGGATTGTCAAATTTAAAATGATACTTCAGTATGCATTATGATTTAATCAGTTGTTTGGGAGAACAATTTTGAACGTGGATATAAGTAATGTTTGTGTGGACAAGCCTTTGGGGGCAAGCTAGGTTCTGATATGACAATTACAGATCTGCTCTGCTTACATGCAAGTAATATTTACATTGAAGTAAATATTCAAATTGAAATGCAGTGCTATTGGAAAGGTGTAAGAGTTACCATAAATTTCATTTTGTATACAATGATTATACATGTGTACATGTTTCATGTAACTTTAGACTGTAATTTATGATGCCATATTATATATTGTATTTCGTTTTGCAGACATTTCATTGATAAATATTTCATTGTGGATAAGCAATTGTGAGTCCCCAATTCGTCCCTATTTTCACGAAGTGACGAAAATCGTAATGCAAAGTGAATGCAATTTTTTCACTACCTTCACTTCGTGAAAACAGCGACGAATTCATTGATACGAATAGGTTCTATTCATTTTGCCAAAATTCGAAATTGAAGAAGTACCAATATTTCTTCAAGAAGAACACTGTAGTTCACTCAGTCTGTATTATCCAGGTGCATACAAACAGTATTGTAGAGCATAAATTTCATAAAACCCCAAATTTCAGCAATGCAGATACGCCCTTTTCTCTGTTGAATTGTCTGTCACAGAACTGTGTACATTAAAATTGAATATATCCATCAAAATAAACAGTACGGAGGTTAGACTCGGACTACACTCTTTGCTGTATGTATACTGGACAAGGATTGTGAATGTAGCCTATTTCTACAAGGGTCTGAATCCTGTAGGGTTGTACGTACAACGCTTGCTCCTGCAACGATTGCTCAGTGTTAATTTGTATACAAACAAAATTCCTAACTTCACCCCTGGACCCAACACCGTACCTTACCCTTATCCTAAGCATGAACCCAACCTAAAACACACTTGCAACCCCATCCCTAATTCTTTTATACAAAATAAAATCATGGAGCAATTGTTGCTGGAGAAAATCCCTTGGTCACCATTGGAAGTGCTTCATTGGTGGTAATCCTGCATATCTGGTGTTTTCGCACTGATTTTGTTGTCATTTTTGGCAAAGTTTCTGCATGATATACATCAAACAAATGTAGTTGAATTATTATGAGGTGAAGTTGTGTGAGGTATGATAGAAAAGAAGATGACTGGCAAGTATGCAGTACAAAATGAAGATATAGTCATGAGTTTCAATTCTACATTTAATAGCAACACATGCAATCAGGGTGACATTTATATGGAGCAAAGTGCTACAAAAAGAAATAGTGTACAAATTATTTACAATATTGCACGTCACAGCATTACACATTGAATTTTATCATAAGAAGACCACTGTACACAATCAGATTTAGGAGAACAGTCGCAATCGTATGAGAATTGAAATGGTAAATTATGCATGACCAAATCCCCACAGAGTGATATGAGTAATGATACCAATACATCAAAATTATAGATTGTTATGAGCCTATAGACAGACGAAATGCCAATTTTGCTTGGATTAGTAGTGTCAACGGTCCAGTTGCATAACTGTCCACTGTTTACGAATTATCTACATTTACATTTCATATCTAATTGTATTTCTACTTCTTTCAAAATCTTCTCGATTTGTAGGGAGGCCATAAGGTACATGTACATTGTGATATAAAGGTGGTTACACACGTGGTGTGATGGTATGATTGAGTTTTAGCATGGCATTGAGTATATACACATTGTCAATAAGATACATTTCAAATGCCCTGTTATTATATTGACAGAGAATGAATTACAGTGTATGTGATCACTAACTAATTAATTGCTGATTGAACACGTTTTTTTCTTCAGAATTGTTAATCTGGAAATCCAATGAAGAGCTGTCTACTGTACATGAAAAGTTTAAATTGCATGCTTAAGCCATGTTCATATATGATGTGACCAAACTGCAGCGTTTTAAAACAGTTATGGCGTAAAGTTTGATACGCGTCACATTTTAAAAATCTTATATCACATAGAGCTCATTGAATATGTATTTTTTTCTTCAAACATTGGTTTACCACGTTATATCTGAACGAACTTGTAAACACTGTTCATGATAAGTAAACAATGAGTCCAATCTTATTTTCGTTGTTATGAACAATAGGTGGAAGGATAAAATGACATTGAATCACAAATTACCGGTATGCTCTTTTCTTCTTCCTCCTTGTTTTGAGATCGGCTTTATGTCTTGTGCTCCTTCAACTTTCTCATGAACAACCTTTAATAGCATACAGCATCTTTGAGAAGCTGAGTATATAAACTTGTATAATAATTTCAAATATTTCTGTTACAGGTGATAAATATTAAAGGTATACAGAATTCTAGTTTAAATATTCTGATATGTAATTTTCCCAAAATATGAATTTGACTGAAATTTTTAATTAAGTGGTAAAGCCTAAAATACATGTATTGCAACTTGTAAGGTCATGTGCATTGTTTTATGAGAGAAAACAGTTTGAAGTTTCTTGGGAACCAAGGCGCGTATGCAGGGAGGGGGGGGGGGGTTAACCCCCCCCCTTTCAGTTTTTATTTTGTGTGTATATTTTAGCAAACCCCTCCCCCCCCACTTTGTAATTTTTTTATTTTTTTTTTGCCATTGGCTGGGCTGACCTAAAAAAGGTGACCTTACCCCCCCCCCCAACGGAACAAAATGTCAAATTTTCAAATTTCGAGACCAAAAAAAAAATAAAAAAATGTGTCCTCTTACCCCTCTCCCCCCCCCCCCCCACTTATCCAGCGGCTGGCTGAGTCGTTACGATTTCTTCGAGACCAAAAAAAAAAGCGTCCTCTTACCCCCCCCCCCCCCCCTTGAAAAAATCCTGCTTATGCTACTGTGTGGACCTGATGAAGAAATCTTTAGCATGGAATGAACAAAGTGAAATGTTATTGAGTTATTTATTATTTATTTATATTGTAGTTAAACGTCATTCACTTAAATGTAAGAATTCAAATACATATGTACTGGTGGGGTAAGATAGTGTTCACTGTTGCGAGTGCTGCATACCATATTTGATTTGATTTGTACAATTTGACCTAAAGCTACAATCAGATTCTACAAATACATGTACCGTACCTTTTTATGTGTATGGATAATTATGTATGGTAATTTATGCCTTTTTTGTCTGTGTCATATAAGTGTAAACACTTAAAATACAATTCTTTATTATGGTTTTAAGATGTTTCAAAGTGGGAAATAAAGAGAAAATAGACACAAACGAAATGTTTGAAGCTGTCTTTGTTGTATTTTCTAGAAAAACCCATATTTTTAAGAGCAAGAAAGCGTTTAGGAAAGAAAAACTAAATGAAAACAAAACGAAAACAAAGTACTACCCCTACTGCTAATGATATATACACACTTAATGCCGTATAGATAACATTTGCCAGCTTAAATTGCACTATGAACCTATTTCTAACCAAATGATATACCCTCAAACACAGCATTACCTCTAACTAAAGATAGACCGTTACAGATAACATTGAAATGGCGTTTACGTCTTAAATTTGAATTTACATTTGAATGGACAGAAAGGTAGTAAGTTATCAAAAACTAGACACAATGCCCAGTGAGTTGTCCTCAGTTTCTTAATGGGTAATTTTCAATGGATAAAAACAGATATAGATAACGGTATTGCACGTCAGTTTCTTAAGATAAGAATACTTTAAAATGCCATCTATACTATTTTAGTAATAGTGATAATATATACAGCACCAAAAGGAATATTAGGTTATTCCGTAACAACTCCAAAATCTCAAATTTACAATTTACAATTTACATTCCATTCATTAAATTACTGTCTTCAGTAAAGGGATTAATTTTAATGATTGCATTAGTTTATGACACCTGAATGAAATGTCAGTACTGTTATTAATAATTGTTCTTGTTCTAAGGCACATTTTCTAAAAGTAGGCATATAGCACCGAATCAATAATGCAAACAAAACCTAGCTTAAAGACATTGGAAGCACCATTTCAGAACTCAATTTATTCATAGTTGCACCATAGTGGCTTAAAGTTAAGTAATTATCAAATAAAAATAAAAGTAAAATGATGATGAAAAATAGGCGTACAAGTCGCTTTACATGGTGAGTGTATACTGTAGTTGGATTTCATTCTCTCTCAAACAAGTATTTTGGCAAGATATTTGGAAGATTAATATTACAGAAACACGATGTCCACCTGTCTGGTAGTCATGATATTATACTGCTCGAATCCCTTTGCCTTTTATTTCCATTATACTTTATTTGCCGTTTAAGAATAAAGTAGCCTAGTATTTTTGTGAGGACCCTCCGCCTTTAACACAACAACAGCAACAGTAATTACCATCAAATTTGATACAGTATACATTATGCGATACAGAGAACGCGGGCATCAAATCGGGGCTGACAACCAATTAATACCTCAGTCACACAAACGTGACAGACAGATATCGACTAAAGACTGAACAAAATGTTACAGCACTTTAATGGACAGAAATAGGTCAGTATGGAGTCTTTGTTGGTCGGTTTGCTACTGGTACTTAGGTACATTTCTGTGTAAAACTATGAGCGTGAGCCTAATTGCTTGTTACTTTGAGCAAGGTGACATAGGAACATAAAGGATATTATCAATCATCCTAACTGAGTGGGTCAAGTCAGTGCTGTCCTGTGTATTTGTGCTAATCTGTACACCATATGCAAGGTGGTTGTCTCCAGAGTATGGCCCCTGATTATCATTCTCAAGGCAATGGTAAACCGGGTCCAGCGTACCACCTTGAGGTCTTCTCAGGGGAGCTGATTCTTGGTTATCATGCTGAGGACGTCTTTTTGGTTGTTCATCATCCTCGAGAGTATGATATAAAGGGGTTTCAATTTGCCCCTTCCGATTGTTTGAAGTAGCGTGCTTCTTGGGTAAATCATGTATTACTTTTGAATCCGATGAACATGCTCCGACAAGATTGTTATTGTTTTCAATGTCCTTGGTACATTTTCTCTGTCTCAAAGGAGCGAATTCATGATTTACATTTTTAGACCTCCGTGATGATTTTCTCGGAGGTAGGGTTGGACCTTCTTTGCAATTAGCGGAGGATGGTCTGTGAGGCAAAGGACGACTTTTCATGGAGAATCCTCTACAAAATCTGTCTTCAATCGTTGTCCTTGACTGTTCTAGATCATCAGATGTACCTTCATAGGCATGCTCATCCATGTCCGTATTAAAAGACTCTTCATATGCGTTTTCAGGGTTTGTCGCACCAGTACTAACAACCATCGGAAATTCAGAACTAGAGGCATAGTGATATAGATTGACATCTTCAAGGATCACATTATTAGTCGTACCTTCGTATGCGTGATTAGCAATGTCCATAGAAGACGATTCTTGATATGCTTCTTGAAGCCTGACAGTATCACCTGACCTAGGGTTATCAAAGCTGGATGCGTAGTAATATGGATTCGGGACACTGGTTGAGGAAACGTAATGGTTATCGCTCCTGGGATTATTCCGATTAAGAAAACTGAACGGTCTATTTGACGTATCAGAAGGGCGTGGGAAATGTGGGACACGTAGAATCTCTGTTGGTTGGGAATCTTCGGGTGTATTGTCGGGTAATGCAGATTCTATCACAGAAATTGGTGTAGAGGAGTCGTTTGTGTTGGGTCTGGGGGGACTGGTTGATCCACCGGGGAAACTTGCAGAGTTTGAAGGGAATCCTGTTCTTCTATTGTTTGTGGGAGTTGAGCGTGTGTCATCTGTCTGCCCTTGTCTTTGCCTCCCTTTCCTATATGAAGAAAAGAGAAGAAAAAAACATGAAAATAAAATAGTTGCATCGTTGCTCTAGTTTCTGTCTTTGCATGAGGAAAAAAAAAAGAGGTAAACATTCAGGTAATAAGACAACGGGCAACGTTTGCAAGTTCATATTAAGTATATATTATATTCATATGTAATTAAATATATATATATATAGGTATACACATACACTCATATATATATATATATATATATATATGTGTGTG